TGCCTACACAAAATCAACTACAGTAGTTGATTACTACTGGCATGCATCACGAAGTACAAGCACCAATAACCCCCACAACCCCGAACGTGCGAACTCATTTCGTAGGTTGCAGAGAACGAGCCAAGGAACAAAAAAAATTAAAACTCACACCTGCCACCCGACCACTGTCCCTGTCCGAGCCTCAAAGGCCCGGATCTTCAGATCCGAAGTGCCTCGGAGTCTAAGTTGTACATGACTGGAATGACGATACGACACGGCGTGAGGCTCAATTGCTGGCGATGGCCAATGAGATTTCGTCGTCATTCCGAGCGAGGCTACCACCAAGTCTTGTGGATTTGTGCGTGCAGTAGACTTCTCGTATGTGGCATGTGACCCTCTGAATTTGGTAGGCACAACACACGCGAACCGACACCAGCCGGGTTTCAAGCTTCAGCTAGAGTCATCTGGAGGTTGTTGCTGCAGAGGCGCCAATCAGCGCGAAGCGTCCCGACTGCGAGAAGCCGAGGCATGAGACCTGGCCCCAAGCAACTTCAAACCCATCGGAGCCTCAGCACTAGAGTTCTGCGGTAAGAGGGCGCACCACAAACACACCCCTTGATGGAGAGGGGGCTATGCACACATGTATGCCACGTGTATGAGTGGGACTTAACGGAGGGGGCTTTAGGATTGAAGGTAATTCAGAGCAACGGGCAGGTACCTGTTTCGGGGCGAACTCGTGCATCTCTGTATATCTGTACATATGTATACATATTTCCCCGTGCGTATGTATGCAACACATAGACATAAATCCCTCCGTCCCGTCCTCCATCCCGCTGCACCTTACCTACCCACCTCCTATAAGCCTAACACTACAAATTACAGTACCCACTTAACTACATCCCTGCATACATGCATACAGCAAATACCGTCTACACAGGCGTACACATGTGTTTATATATATATATACATACATACATACATACAGGTCTGTACATGTAAGATACATACATACATACATACATACATACATGTTGGTACTCGCGCTCGAACAAGTCAGGCGACTGTAGACATACATACATACATACATACATAGTATACACGCATGCGTGCATATGTACACACATAGGAAAACACACATGCATACACAAATGCATATGTGCATACACACGTACATACATACATGCCCACTTACATACATACATATATATATATATATACATACAAACATACATACATTCCTTCATGCATGAATACCTGCATACCAGCATGCCCGCTAGTCACTACTGTCTGCGTGAGGCTGTCAAAGGAATTAATTCTCGGCTTCAGGCCAAACCGGCCTCACATCCCTCCCTCTGTGTAGCTGTTACAGATTCCCGCTCTGGTTACGGGTTGCTGAGCTGTAAACACAACTACGCAACTACGTGATGATCGATCGCAACTGCAACCATACTCAGCAGCTCCTCTGCCTCGCATTTTCATCTGTCTAGCTGTCGATGTTGCGGCTGAGGCCACAGATGTATCGCTCACACAGCGGCCTTCGTGTTGGCCGCGAGGTGTGCCACGAGCCGCGCGCTCGGAAGGCTTTGCAAAGCCTCGGATCCGTCACAGGCAAGAATCTTAATCAGCACCTTCGGTGAGCATGTTCCAAGTTCGAAGGTATGGTCGCCAGCTTTACATGCACATCAGCCTCTTTCTACCTAGCTCACGCCCAACACCTGCCAAACGGACTGTGGCAGATTTCTGCTGCGCTCCCTACCACTTCTCTAGCAGAGTACACACAGAATGCCTCGCATGGCCAAGGAGCAACTGATCGGCTCTCTGTCAGCCAAAGCAACCTCCGGGGCTTCGGGCTTCGACACCGGTGATGATGATGATGCGGGCGGCAAGAATCAAAGCGATGCTGCTGCGATGATCATGGCCATGGCAAGGGTGCTGAGGACTGGCATGCTGGCGAGGCACTTCTGTGCAGCGAGCTCTTGTCAATGAGAGAAGTCTGTACCCTGAAACCCCGAAATCGCGCCCAAAGCGCAAAAAAAACCAACCACTCCCAACATCTCCCAACATTCCACTCCCCTCCGAGGGCTTCTGAAAAGACCTTTCCGAACAGCAATCCGTCCCAGGATGCCTAGGCGGTGTTCTGCTCATCGCAGGAGCCGGAGTGCTGCTATCGAAGCTCAAGCCTGACGCTTGGCTTTGCTGAGGCAATGGTCAAGGGACTTCCAATATCCACTGTCCTACAACAGTCTGCTGCGACACCGGCACGACAGAGCACTGTACATGACCCACAACCCTCCCTGTGGTGATCGTCCGGGCATCCGGGCATGGGACTTCGGCACTGGAACTCCCGACAGCTTCGTAGCCTCGGACCTGCCAAAGCTTCGGGTCACTCAAGTCCCAACACTCGACCAGGACAGTGCGATGCTGCAACCGCAGAACCGAACAAGCAAACGCTCGCTACACCCACCTCGCTGAACAGCAGCACGGCGCTTGTCGTGTCTGCCGCTACCAGGCTGGCTCCTCTCGCGGCCTCACCCGAGGCGCCACTACGCCAAACATGTTCTTGCGTTGGCTTCGAAGGATTCCAGAATTAGAGAACGACAGAACGATGCTTCCCACAGATTCTCAGATTCTCCGCTTGAGGCCGGCATGGCACCGGCAAGGCTCGGGCCTCGTCCTCGGCACCACCTCACGAGAGGGTACAGAGGGCTGCTCCTCGCATCAACTCTCTCGGCGGGAGACTTCAAAGTGCCTTGGAAATATTATGGATTGCGGCGCTAGCTTCTGGACATTCCATGTCTCACGTCTTGACTGAGGCCCAAGCCCGCATCCAGGAAGCAAAGCAGCGGCAGCCGCTGTTCGTGCTGCCGCTGGGCCACCGCCGCCTCAGTTGTTGCCAACTCCACGGGCAGCGGCGGCTGCGGGCTGGAGCTGCCTCCGCCTCTGAATCATGACCACTACTGCCACATCCCCCACGCGCGCTGTTTTGGTGTTCTTTTCACACAGGCGCTGAGTCAGCAGTTCTGCATCGACTGCTACGCCTCAAAGCAACAAAAAGCAGCAAAGTGAGCTCAATTCCCAGGTCACAGTACCGCTAACCGCTAACCTGTGTGCCTCTGCCTCGCTTGCGGCGCAACCCTCAACCAAAACCCCGATTTCCAGGACAGGTCCCTGACTGCCGCGGTCACATCGAAGACGAGCAGCTTGCCAGACCTCTGCGACATGTGCAGCTGTACAGCGACTCTCGACACAAACTTCGGGAGATTTCGCAAAGGTCACGAGAGCTCGGGAGTAGCTTGGGAAGAGCCTGACACTCCAAGAAAGGCTTCGGATTCCTCTTGAATCGCAGGGCCCGGAAGTGTTGAGAAACCCAGTGTGTAAGCAGATACGATACTCACAGAAACCTCCAACAAGCGAAAACAAACCACAGCTCTCCGTATCTGACATATCCTGACCTTAGCTTTAGCTGCTGAGCTATTGCCGACAAAACGGGAAAGAGTTTCGATCGAGATCCTTGCCGAAAGCTGATGGCAATTTGGCGACGAGAAGGATGGCAAGCCACTGCCTCACGCAGTACATGACAAATCACTCGCCCGATCCTGCAGCTGGCAGCAGCTGAAACAGCGTGCCAAAAACATCTGCAATGTCACAAGGATGCAGCAGCTGCTTCAAAGGGCCAGCCCAACGTTCCTCCACCATGTATGCCTCTTCCCGCACAGCAGCATCTGCAGCTAGTTAGGCAACCCTGCAACCTGTTCTCTCTCTTTTGGCAACTCGAATGCCGAAGCTTCCGCCACTTCCGCCATGCCCAGGACGACCCTTCGCCTCCACAAGTGATTCCGGCAAAGGAAAGTCGCCGATCTGGTCCAGAGCCGGGAAGCTCCAAACCTGCCAAAGCTTGAGCTCTCCTCTCACAACTTCTTGCTGAACACCCGGGGGGCGTCACACGGTCGTCGTGTACCAGTGACGGGGAAGGGGGAGATGCTAGGCCTCTCCGCCGGCACAAACAACATGAGCTCAAAGCGCAACAGGCTAGCAGCGACCAGGTTTGTCAGACATTGCATGTATGTCACACCAAAAGCATGTTGGAGAGGCAAAAGCCAATCGACTTCCAAGCAAATCGCAAAGAGCAGCTCCTTGAGAGATCCCTCCGCGACGCTGGCAAGCTGTCCAGTTGCCTTGTTGGTAGAAGGAGTCTGTTCACTGGATTCAGTCTTGAGGGGTCTCGCTGGTTCATCAGCTCGTGCATTCGTACCTGCATGTATGCCGTGCGGTCCCTAGGGTGCCCGGCGTCGGCGAGGGCCTCGGACGGATGAGCAAAGCGGGTTGTCTGTGTGTGTGTGTGTGTGTGTGTGTCTTTCTGAAGTCGCTTGGAAGAGCATGTGACTTCCTGCAAGATCGCCCCCTTCGGCCGCAGCACGCATGTTCTCCTCCTGATGCTGAAGTGTACCCCAAAGAGAACAGCTGGGCGTCTGGACTGCTCGCAAGACTGAGGTCCTGTGAGACCTCGAAAAAAAACAAGTCTTGCAAGAGTCGTGGAAGCCAGGGCCACGAACATGACGAGATACGACGCGAGAACACATCGACCGAAACGCATTGAAGGCTGCGTCTGGGCATGGAGCAATGGAGAACTCTGAGGACCTTGCCGGAGAATATCCTGGTACTGGTGGGACTGGAGATCCAACCTCACAGCCGCCGCGCTCCCTTGCTGGCTCCTTTTTCTCATTCCTCTGTTTTCACCAGGAGAAGTGCTGACTGTGCATTCGGGCTGGTGATGGCGATGGTGAGCCCCACGAAACACTGCGTTTTTGTGTGAATCTGTTCCCATGTCGGCATCCCTAGACTCTAGACTCTAGACACAAATCACAAAAGCATTTTGTCTGAGGTGTTTCCAGATCCACAAGCCACTCACACGGCACACTGCGGAAGTGGCTTCAATCTTGCTTCACATGACTGAGCCGTGTCTCAGACGATCCCGAGCCCGGCACATGCCCACGGAACCGTCCGCAGTGCTACAGAGCACCTCATGCAAGGCCGCAAGGCACGTCCAGCACGGCCCGATTCGAACAAACGACCAGAACGGCCCTGAGCGCCTGCCGCCCGTCGAGGCTGATGTCGATGCCGGTCACGGCGGTCTCATGGAGGGCATGGAGGTAGAAGGAGCGAAAGTCCAAAGGCCACACCTTGGAGGCAAACCCTTGGAACCGCACTGATGCATCCTGGAAAGAGGCCGTTCAGGGCTTTTGGGGATCAGGGTCCCTAAACCCTCGCAAGCTGCGAGACTGAGAAACTCCTGGCACCCCGACCCGCACGTGTCGGTCGGCAGAAGCAGTCACCACGAAGGACTCGTTGGCACAGAGCCCCGTGATCGCCTCCGCTACGGCCGCTACGGAACTGCCGGCTCTGCAAGTGAACTGCTCAGAAAGGCGTTCCTAAAACAACGTGTGGTTTCTCTTCCGACCGCTATCTGAAACAAAAGAGCGGGGCATGCGCAACTGTGGTTTCGCTGGGGGAGGCTGCCGCTTGCTGCGCCTGGCCTCGCGCTTTGCCCTCATGCCACGCTGACTGAGACAGGGACGGCGCTAAAAGAAATGACACAAATAGCACTCCCGCCCTGTAGTGTCCACAGGATGGGCTCTGCCCGGTTGCAGATCCAAACTCTCCATAACTCTCCGTAATTTTGCCCGTGGTGCGCGGCAGAGTCTCTCTATCACTATCAGCACTACGAGGCACTATCTAACTATCCCTTCTGACCGGACCACGGTGACGTGAGGCGGAAAAAGACGAGACGCTTCGCGAAGATGGAGCGGCAGAGTGGGAACCAGGTAACCACGGCCCGCCTGAGTGTGCAGCTGATGCACTGCCAAGACCTGAAATGTTTTTGCGCTGGGCTGCAGTGTCTGGGACGACGATTCCAAGGTAGTAGGATAAAGGTTTTGCCCAAGGAGATAGTTGAGGGTCTGAGTCTCAGATAGAAACACGAAGAAGGAGTCGTGCCTTCCGACTCTTGTGGCCCAGCTCAATCACGCGGCCATCTGCGGTTCCCACCTCATGCACCAGAAAAGAGAACAAACATTAGCGGTCAGAAGTGCTCCGTGCTTACTTCAAGCACTAGCAGTGGCAGCAACGGCATAACACATGGTCCTCTTGGCCTCGGTACAGGTAGCGCAGCAAGAAGAGCAACAGCAGCAGCGGCCGACAGCACGGGCGTGTCAAGGAAATGACTACAGTGTGACTACAGCAGAACACTACTGACAACGTCATCAACAAGATCATCGTCTGCGCCTCGATCACCACGACCACATGGAGACCAGAGCAACAAATGATGATCAGACTTTGTCATCACAATAGACCAGGTGGTTAACACGTGTGCAACGTGTTCACCCTCTGCACAACATTTTGCAAGCCCCCTCCCCCCTGCAACACCAGGGGCGCTGCCCAGAGTCGGACCTGTTCTGCTGCTTCGGAGGGCAGGCAGAAGCTGTGACCTGCAAAAAGGCTGGCAGTGGGGATTTCTTGCGATCCGTGATTTGTTTGTGATGGTCGAGCTACGTTACTTCCAGTCCAGCTGCTTTGGCCTGAATTAGAGATCGGGCAGCAGGTCGAAAGATTGTCATGGACAGTCCAGGCTTCGGGTGTCGGGGCTCATGTTCTCACAACTCGGACTCTGCCAAATGGGCTTCAACATAGGGTTACGACGGTTACGACGCACGATGTCCGCCAGATCCAGAAGGATGCCTGCGCGGCGGCACTCGAAAGCCAATGCTGTGAAATGCCTTGGAAGCTGGCTTTCGCTTGAGGAGCTTTGCCTGCTGATCTCGGGGAGATCCCGAGAATCTGGGTGCATCAGGTTGCACTAGGAGTTGTAGAACTAATGCAGCGCATCCGAAACAACAGTCCTCACAACGTTTGTCTACGGGCATGTTGCCAAGCAGCGGCACAGTGGCATTGCGAGAGGCTTTCCGTTCAGGCCAAGCTCACGACATGGCTTCCCCTTCAATACGATTGACTGAAATTTGCAAGACAATCGAGATGCCAATTAACTTCCAGACTGGACAACATTGGACAACAGCTTCGCGAGGGGTTTGCGCTTGAAGTCAAATCGCCATGGCTATCCGCCGGGGAGCCGTAAGCCCACCCAAAGCGACATGTGCGTGCCAACCAGGGAAAAGGGACCCAATCTCCAGACAATGTGTTGCCCAACCCTCACTCAAGGTACATTTAGGGATCTTACTGTATCTTCGTCATCACCAACAGCAACCTCATTTTCACAGCCGTTTCACCATCACCATTGCGGTCATCGCCGTCAGCAGCACCCTCCATAGCAGCAGCACGAAGCAGCAACAGCGCTAGCACCCATATCACCCCGCCCTGCCCTCTCATCATCATCGTCGTCGTCATCAGCATCACCACTAGGACCGTCATCCGTGTCATCGCGGGATGTCCCAGTCATCATCAGTGGCACTACCCGTCCGCAACGACTGCCACCAACCCAGCTGACCAGGATAATCGGAGCTGCATTTGGCGCGCCAGAGCTCCCAGCGGGACCTCTCCGTGCAGTAGCCGCTGCTGTGCTGAAGGGGCTGAGGGGCGAGGCTGGAATAAGATTCACACTGCTGTACAGAACAGCAAACCTTAACTTGGACTGCAAACGGCATTTCATGGCGGCTCGCCAGGGGGGCTCTTGCAAGTGTTTTGGTCGTGCCGACTGGTGCTTAGTGAAGAGAGGCGGAAGATCTAGCAGCTAGCACATCGTCCTTTAGCATGGACTGAACCTGCAGCTGGCAATGAAGCACCTAGTGCTGCGCAGCATTAAGCTTCCCGAACTAAGACGCCCTGCAGCTTCAATCCGATCAACCGGAGTTAACTTGCAGCTGTAGGTCAACCCGATGGAGAGAAAGAAAGAGAGGGAGAGAGAGAGAGAGAGAGAGAGAGAAGGATTCACCTGCAGAGTTTGCGTTTATGACTGTCGAGAGCATGTGGGGATCAGTGCATGTGCAGGAGAGGTGGCAGAGGAGCGGATGCAAACCACGGCTGTTGCAACCAGGGCTGCCACCATGCAGCCGCTGAGGTGGCTATCCTGGCAGGTTTGAGTCCGAGTCAGCCATCATATTTCTTAGCGACGCTGTGAACTCACAGGACTCAGTCTGTACGTCTCTGCACAGTACATTAACGCTCCTAGTGCGACCGACGGCCGCGACAGCCCCGATGGAATACCAAAAATGATTGCAAAGCCGCGTGCGGCCTTGATCCGCCAGACGCGGACGTTCTCCATGCCACAGCTGATCAGCGTCAGCTTCTCGAAAGGGGAGAACCTGCCGCTGTAGTCGGCATCTCATGCCCTCGAGGCGATTCTTGCATGAACTCATGTCAATGTGAACTCGAGCCGCGTCTGCCGCAGCTACACCCGAGAAGCAGTCGACAGCGGGAAACTTCAGTCACGGTTGATGGAAACAACCAAACAGACCTGTGTTTGGGGTGGGCACCGAAGGCAGGCCACGTCGGGCCCCGTCTGCTTGGCCACCGGTGTCAGGGCACCGCCGTCGGCGCGACTCATGTCCCAGACCTGATCGGACAAACAGAAAGGACAGCAACTGTCGAAGCTCGGGTGAGGGACTGAGAAGTGAGAGGGATGAGAAATTGAAGGGAAAAGGCGCTGCGGATTTGGGGCGCATTGCTTCGGGCTGGGTGGTCGGATTCATCAGGAAATGATGCAGGAATAGGGCGAAACACCAATGAATGATCTCTTCAAGTTCGCCTGCATGAGGCCCTCACGAATCGGTTGCTTCCATCTCCTTGCCTACGGTCAAGGGCTTGTGGCAGGTGCCGAGTCAAGCGGGCCCCAGACAGGCAAAGCACAACTAACCACCCTACCGGCGGAGACGCTCATCACAGTGAGCCCTCCATCTAGGCATCCCCTTCTGACCTCTTTTTCCCCGAACACCCGAGATCCTCAACTTAGCAGCGAGACGTCGAGTAGCCAGGGTCCCCGGCTAGCAAGCTCTGCCGGTTCTGGATATCCTGGTGCGACACTGCCGGATCAAGGTGGGCACGAGTTGTATACGACCCTCTCTTGAGAGCTGGACGAATGAGACATTACTATGATTATTATGATTCTTATGATTATACGGTAACAAGCCGACTCGCACGGCCCGGGGCCTGGCCAGACACCGCTAGGAACTTCGAAGGCCCGTCGAAGGTCAGAGCCTGCACGGAGACCAGCGACGGCAGCGACCTTACAAGAGCAGGCGCAAGGTATATGATTACATATATCACCAGCACTAACACTCGTGTCCCTGTCTCTCTCTCTCTCTCTCCCGGGCATGAGGGCGGGTCAACGCCCTCGGGCCAATGGCCCCCCCGTTGTTTTAACGGGTGTGAGGGGTGAAGAACGAGTCGTGAATACAGTTTCGGCTAGAGCCATATAGATTACGATAACGGCAACTGTAATCATCGACCCTCAGTTTCACACATGCAGCACCATCTCTCGCTTCCCCCGTATACATGACATAATAATGTAGGGGGTCGTTCGGAGAGGTGATGTCGGGAGGTGCAGTATTTCCTGTCTCTATCTGTCTCTGTCCATCGGTGTCTGTCCTTGTCTGTCTGCGTCCGTCCGTACTTATGCATATTATTGTACATCTGTGTATGTGTGGTTGTATGTACCTCTGCCTGCCTGTATGCCTCATTGTCTGTGCGTCTCTCTCCGTCCGTCTCCGTCTCCATCCCTCTTCCGCCCTCGCCAGCCCTGCCCTCGCCTGCGCTCGCCCGCCCTCTCCTGCCTTCGCCTGCCCTCGCCTGCTCCGCCTGCCGCGTGTCTGCCTGTATGCATCCAGTCGCATACTTCTGCATATGGACAGTTGCTTCGAGCTGCAGGGTGTGTGAGTGTGTGTGTGTGTCTTCATTTGGTAACACTCAGCATATCTTCATTGTCATGGATCGGACTCTTACAAGGACAGGAACTCTTTGAACACGAAGCAAACGATGAGCAAGGCGGAAGTGGCTCATCCGAATCGCCGGCACCGCATGAGGCCGTCAGGCTCTTGGTCTGAGCCCATGGCGTGACAGACGCGCACACCATGCCTGCACCGCCAGCATCGCAGGGTGAGGCAACGGATCGAATCAGCAAAGCTGCGCATTTCTTGTAAGGAGAGGCACTCGCGGCACCTTCGGAATGCACCGTCCAAAGCCGCATTACCGGAGGAGACCTCCTGCCCTCCACCTGTGCCGGGAATTGAACGGAGTTTTTGGGGCGAACTCGTTAGTGCCGGCTGAAAGAGGGTGCATCGGTGTATCGTTCGGCGATTGTCGCACACTGCAGCGGAGGTTCAGCTCCAACTCAACTGCCATAGCGATCGATGCTCCCAGGTCTAACTGCAAACAGCACCGCAAGCAACAGCCTTGCGAACACCATAGGCATATCATTCATGTTATATGGATACTAAACTTACTAAACTACACGTAGAGATGGCATCTGATGTCTAAAGCGAGGCTTAGGTTGCTTAGATATTCACCTGCGTCCGTCTCCGATGGGTCGTGTGACCTCAGGCACTTGCCTCCTCGTCGCCACCGCCTTGTACTGAAGCCACCCACCGCCTTCGTGGGATTCGATTTCGAGACTTCTTGGAGGAGCCAGGGCTTGACTTGCGACTGGCCAGGGACGGAATCCAGAACTTCGCTGCGCTGGGCCCCAAGCCCGTCGTCTGAGGCCTCCAGCATCTCAACCCGCCTTAGTGCGGTAATTTGCCGGATCTGTGCCGGATCGAGGGCAAAAGCTGCAGCTCACTTCATGTCCTTTTGCATGAAACGATCGCCGGAGTTCATGCTTGTTGCCTTCCACGTGCTCCGTTCGCAGTCCGGGAGTCCGGGCCTGGCATGACCCTGCAAGAAACGGGGTCTGCTGCTGCTTGGATCCTCCAGAAGTCCACAAACATGAAAACGTTGAGTCCAGGGCCCCTACAGGGCATCTGGACCCTGCTTTTTGGGGAATCGTGTCGGTATCACGAAGCACAGCAGTCTGAGTCGGCCCTGGAGACAGTCCTGGTTCCGCAGCACCAGGGCCATGCAGCTCATGCCCACAATCTGCGCAGCTTGGTTTCCAGCAACCCCTCCGCTATCTAGGGCCTAGGGCGTTGTGGCGCCAAGCGAACTCCTCAAACGACACGGGTCCCTGCACACACACACACACACACACACTCCGAATGCGAGCAGCCGCATCGCATCAATCACCAAGACAAAACGGAAGAAAGACTGCAACAGCAGCGACAACCTCGTCACTGACATTTGACACCAATGATGGCAAAGCGTGCTACTATGCATGACAAGGGTTGTGCTCGTCAACATGCGCAGGAAGAGCAGACGAGCAGCAGCATCATCTGGACCCAGTGGTCGGGGAGGTTTGTTCTGGCTAGGAGAACTTCAGGGTAGGATTCACAGACACAGAGAGAGCGGCCGACACGGAGATAGAATAGGGGTCAAGCACACCAAGCAGATATAGATAGATAGATAGATAGATAGATTAGCCGTCCCGATTCGCGGAAGGTAGTACCAAACTTGCTGGGATCCCGTAAAGGTCCCAGCAACCTCCATCGGTGCAGCAGCACCGTCCTGCAGGTCAGTACTTCTCAAGTGCAGGGGTTCTTACGAATCAGCTGAGAGTGAACTAAGGAATACATTAATTAGTTAATTGAATTACTTCATTAAATTAATTAAATGAATTACATTGAACTAAGGGATGAGGAAAGCTCCGCATCTGGGCTCCAGGGCCGGAGATCCCTCAAAGTTCAATCTCGACCTTCAGCTTGGCAGACATTGAAAGCTTTGGAAACCGGCAACAGCAGCTGAAGCCTGCTCCTACCTGCATTTCGACTCAAAACAGAAGATCGAGTCGGTCGATATCACGACGTGCAGTCCTGCCCAGCACTCAGCACGAAAGCTGCCCGGCGATGCGGGACCTGGGACGGGCTGCGACGGAGTCTGGCGATGTATGGCCGGACCGATGACAGCTCGGAATCACTGCCGTGAGCTTGGACACTGGGACTGCCGACTGCAAGCACCACTCCAGAAATGGCTACAAACACCAGCGTGCGCCAACCGCTTGAGCGGCATGAGCGGTGCTTCTACACCCTTGCCCTGACTCACGGTGGCCTGGAGAACCCCGGACGGTTCTGCGATCCTGAAGGTGGCCCGTCAGGGCTGCATCGGAAGAGCTCCGGAGAACCCACAGGCAAAGTGAGACGATGCGCTGCGCGCGGCCTGCGCCCACCAGCGGCCACCGCCGCCATGTTCCGGATCGATGCGATGGGCCTCGGCCTGAGTCGAAGTGCGACTCGGGCGGGCAGAGCTGTGCCGGGGCGCTTTGTTGAAGTCAACCTCTCAGCGTTTCATCTCCTTTTGTGGTGCCTTTCGAGTCCCGGGAAGGCTCTGACTTGGCTTCCAGGCTGCCCACAGCAACTCCATCCTTCGTGGTCCCTGGTCTTGCAGCAGCGCACCCCAGCACGCAAGCATTGGACCATGGTCCACGAGACAAGAGCTCAGTCCAAGGCCAATCCTCCTGGGCAAAGGTTTCTGGCTGTCTTGCTCTTAGCTTCCTAGGGTTGTCTGGCTCCGCAGACCTAGCCTCACGACTGCAAATTTGTTAGATCATCCCAGTTCTTGCTGTCTACGAAGATGCTTCCTCCTTTACAAAAGCTAACAGCCCTCTGCATGAAAACGTTTCGCATAGCCAGAGTGCCGAGGAATCTCTCGATGCATGCGTACTGTACATGCCTAGACTGCTGCTTATCATACACAAGCACGTGCACCCATGTAATCTAAATACGGTACATGTACACAATTATGCGCACAGAGACATGCACTTATATACACTTGCATACGCATCTCTATGTAACGAAATCCTCCAACTGTTTCTATGTTGCCACACGTCTTCCAGACCCGGCTGCGCAGCAGCAGTACGATACATATCGTTTTGGGTCGCCTCAACTTCGACATCTGCTGCCTTTGGCGAAACTCTGATGTAGAACGCAGGGGTCAACGTCAACTTTTGTTCGAAGGAAGGCTTCCCTCTCCCGGCCCGGCGAAGAAAGCGTGCGAAGCCGTCCTTTTCCACCTTCCCCGATCCCGAGATGGAGCTCGCGGAGGGCGGAGGCGGAGCTGAGGAACCTCAGTCGCGAGGAGGGCTGCTTCAAAGCTTCAGCCTGACTGGAGTCAGCGGAGCTGAGGACGTCTCTCTTCAGCGGCGACGGCGCAGCCATCACGGCCATCCTCCGGCGGAAGAAGCAACCGCGGAACGTTTCGAACGGACACGAAAACCGCCCAGGCTCAATGTACCTGGTCAGTCGAACCGAGACGACAGAGGAAACGAACTTGCACCCGGAATGCCTGTCGCTGGCAGCTGCTGCGGCCTGGCACTTTCTACAAACGCACCCGCACGCAATCTTCAGCAGTCTCGCACCGAGATCCGGAAGCCGAATGCAACTCAACCGATGCAGAAGGAACTTAACGAATGGAAGCCTCGCTCTGTTTGCCCAGATTCAGGATCTGACCCGAGATCTGCCAAGAAGAGCTGCAAAGAAAACAAGCTGGAGCTGCCTCCCCAGCATCCGGAACATCGACCCATGCCCAGTCCTGCAAGGACGAGCATGGTGGTCTATCCGCTTGTGACAAGGGTGGTCCCTGGGTGGTCCTTGAACTCACCCAGGATTTCGCGAGGTCCAGCATTGGCGACGTAGTATCCTGGTGGCCCGGGGCACGGGGTAGCTCCGAGGCCTATGCAGCCGGGAGGAGGCCTCGCCCCTCAAAAAGTATCAAAGCCGAAGCCGACTTAGTTCCGGTTACCTAGGAGAGCTGCCAAGGTGGAAGATCCCAATCTCTGAGCGGGCTTCGAATCCCTAGGGGCGACGCTGCACTAGTCACTAGGTCGCTAGTTTCTTGAGACAGATCTTGACTTGACGATCACCCCGTTCCCTCACAAGTCTCCACCACAACGGAAAGGAGTGTGGGCTTGCCCCCTTGCCCAAGTCATTGACAACTCAGCGTCTGCCACCCGCTCTAAGATCCAAGACCTGTGTCCTGATTCTCTTGTGACGAGCATCGGTCGGAGGTGAAGACATTCCGCACGTACAAAGACGAACAGATCTGGATGGATCCTGGGATCTGTCGAACACCAACACGTATGCCAGGTCCAGGTTACACATGCTTCTTCGTGAAGCCTTGCTCCTGCAGATGCTTCCTTGCAACACATTCAAAGCTGGAGATGGCTCCTCGTTTCTGTCTCTGGCTGCCGAGGTGCTCAAGAGGAAGCCGTGTCGGTTGACTCCTGGGACCACGCCCAAAGCCGAGGGCACATGGAGCCGCACGACCTGGGCAAATAACAACACTGCATCTGCGAAGCCCTCCGTAGGTACCCAAAGCAGCTGGAATCACGGAGAAGGTGTGGAGTTAAGCAGTGGGCAGTCCACTGCTCCGGCAGCTGGCAGGGGCACTGAATGCAGTGGTATGTCGCCGTCCCCACCTGTGCCAGTAGACCATCTCGTTTCAGCGGCTTCCCTTGCTATTCCTGCCCGAATGATCTCCGCAGAATTCCCAACATCAAAACACCAAGTGCCTGGTCCAAATGCTCTCGGCTGTGGACGAACCCCAGCTGCAAGAAAGACCTCGAAACAGTCCTGGCATCCTGCTTGCCCACCCAAAAGCATGAATGATCGAGAAAACATCTCTCTCAAAGTTGAGTGCTCGTCATCCTCTGGCGCTAGGGCTTTGCTTTGGTCTCTGCTTGGCTGCTGCCTCCTGGTAGGCGTTGCTCAGGGAGATGCCTTGGCGGCGCTGGCCGAAGCCGGAAGCGCGCGGCGCGGCATTCCACGAGTTTTCATGCTTTGTGCTTTGCGCTGTGCCAGCTGCCTGCTCTTCACGGATAAAGAACATATGACAGGTTCAGAGCTGAGCCCGTACTTCCGCCAACCGCTATCCTGCGCCGGCACGATAACGCGGCATGATCGCCGCACCCCGTGGGCCTTCCTTCAACGTGGGTCATCGTAATCGAGCATAATGCCGTAGTGCT